GCAGAAGCAAAAATTAAAGGAGTAGATAGTAAGAATGAAGACAATGAAATAACAGAGGAGGACATCTTGCTCAGAAGGGAGGGGTTCAGTGAACTATGGGAAGCATGGCAAAGAAGAGAAGTGGCATGGAAGCAGAAGACTAAGCTTGACTGGGTTCAGCAAGGGGATGCCAATTCTAAGCTCTTTCATAGAATTGCTAGTGGCAACAGATCCAGGAAATTGATTCGGGGCTTATATAAAAATGGGTCATGGATGGAAGAACCCAATACAGTGAAGCAAGAAGTGCGGGATTACTTCAAAAATATTTTTCAAGAAGAGAAATGGGATAGGCCAAAGCTTGATGGTTTGCAATTCAAACAGCTAGATGATGAAGACAGACTTTGGTTAGAAAGAGATATCTCAGCAGAAGAGGTGAAACAAGCAGTGTGGGAATGTGGAGGGGACAAGTCCCCAGGTCCTGATGGGTTCAGCTTCCATCTAATTAGATCTTTCTGGAGTGTGGTCGAAAAAGATATTGTTGATTTTGTTCAAGAATTTTCCAGCAATGGCAAACTGGTAAGGGGACTAAATTCTTCTTTTATTGTCCTTATTCCAAAAAAAAGCTAATCCTGTTGACTTAAAAGACCACAGACCAATTAGTTTGGTTAACAGTCTTTATAAAATAATATCGAAGGTGCTGGCTAACAGGATTAAGAAAGTTTTATCTAAAGTGATTAGTGGGGCACAGTCTGCATTTTTGGGAGGGAGACAGATCACTGATGGAATACTGATTTTAAATGAAGTAGTGGAGGAGATCAAGAGGAAAAAGGCTAGTAGCTTCGTTTTTAAAGCAGATTTCGAGAAAGCATATGACTGTGTGAACTGGAATTTCTTAGATGAAATGATGTGGAGGCTTGGATTTGGTGAAAAATGGAGAAAATGGATAAAGGAATGTTTGCAAACAGCTTCAGTATCAGTTCTTGTTAATGGAAGCCCAACTGATGAGTTCAAAATGGAGAGAGGGTTAAGACAAGGTGATCCCATTGCTCCGTTTCTCTTTTTAATTGTCGCAGAAGGCTTAAATGGGTTGATTGAAGCAGCTGTAAGTAAGGACCTATTCCAAGGAGTCGATATAGGCTCTTTTGGCCTCAACATATCTCACCTCCAGTTTGCCGATGACACCGTTATCATAGGGAAGGCAGATCCTACAAACATAAAAGCTGTGAAAGGGTTATTGAGATGGTTTGAACTGGTTTCGGGTTTGAAAATCAATTTCAACAAAAGTGTGCTGTATTCGTTCCATGTCTCGGATGAGTGGGGAAGAATGGCAGCTGCTACTCTTAATTGTAAATCAGGGTCCATCCCATTCACTTACCTTGGCATGCCAGTTGGGGATGTTATGTGTAGGAGGAAACCTTGGATTCCAGTTATTGATAATTTTAGCAAGAAGCTGGCAGTCTGGAAAGCGAAACACCTCTCGATTGGTGGTCGAGTTACGTTGCTAAGGTCCGTTCTCTCTGCCCTCCCTATCTACTTTATGTCTGTTTTTAAAATTCCTAAAATTGTGCTGCATGAACTTATTTGTTTACAACGGAAGTTTTTGTGGGGCTATTCAGAGGAGAAGAATAGGTTAGCATGGCTGAGTTGGGAGAAAGTTTGTAGGGGGAAAAAAGAGGGAGGTTTAGGGGTTCCAAATCTCGAGTATAGAAATATAGCTTTGCTAGGGAAGTGGTGGGACAGATTTGGGAAGGAAGAGAATAGCTTATGGAAGGCAGTTATTTCCAATAAATATTACGGTGGGGACATTAAGTGGGATATCAAACAATTTCAAGTTAGGAAATTACCTTCCTTATGGGGGAATATTGTGGCTATAGGTAACGAAGGGGGTATAGGCTCATGGGTTTTAAGAGACGATTTCATTTGGAAGTTGGGGATGGGTGACA